GGTTAATTTGGAAGACCTTGGCATCGGGGGCCTGGTTAACATCAGATCAGGGGCCACCGGCGCCAAGGTCATCGAGGTCTCCGGAGAGGGTCACGCCAACAAGGCTGACTTTCTCGCGGAGCAGGTCAAGCGAGTCCTCCAGGGGGAGGACGGGACGCGGGTGGACCGGCCGCGGAGAATGGCCGAGGTCCGCCTACGCGGCCTCGACGACTCCCTGGACGTCGAGGAGATAAAGGGGTGGGTAGCGGAGGCTGGACACTGCGGCGTCTCCGATGTGCAGTGCGGTGCGCTGCAGCCGGCCGCCGGAGGCAAGTCCAGCCTGTGGATGCGTCTGCCCCTTGTATCTGCCAGGGAGTTGTCCCAAAAGGGAAAAGTGCGGGTCGGCTAGGTGACGGCCGCGGTGGACCTTCTCGAGGCACGTCCTATGCGCTGCCATAGGTGCCTCGAGAGGGGCCACACGAGGGTGACCTGTCCCAGCGCAGTGGACAGGAGCGGGAGGTGCTACCGGTGCGGTGAGACCGGTCACACCTCCCGCGATTGCCGATCTGCCTCCAAGTGCCCGCTTTGTGCGGACAAGGGCAGACCGGCGACGCACGTGCTGGGCGCAAAGTCTTGCGTCCAGCGGAACGTGCGCGGGAGGCCACCGGGGCGGCGCTCATTGGAGCAGGCGCCTGCAGCCGGTGCCCCCCTCCCGGCCGAAAACCGGCCGATGGAGGAAGGGGAGGAGACGGGGGGCGGCGAAATGGGCGAGAGGCCCCAGCCGCAGCGTCAGCCGGCGCGAAAGGAGAAGGCCCCCAGTACAGAGGCCATGGAGATAGAGGCCCCATCGGACGGGGGGGAAGAGAACTAGCAATGTCTCGCCCCCCTCGTCCGAATCTAAAAGGATATGGCCTGCTCCAGGCCAACGTGAACCACTCTCCACATGCACAGGATCTGCTCCAACAGAGCATGGTGGAGAGGGGGTTCACGTTGGCGATCGTGGCCGAGCCCCACCGCCCCCCAAGAAGCAGCCCATATTGGGCTGTTGGGCAGGCGGGGGACTCGGTCGCGATCCGATGGCGGTCGGTGCCGGGAGGGCCCAGCACGACCCCCATCGAAAGTGGGGAACGGCACGTAGCCGTACAGTGGGGGCCCATCGCGGTCGTGGGGGTTTATTTGAGGCCCACCAGACGCCTTGCCCCGTTCAAGGGCTGGCTATCGGACTTGGGACAGACGGTCCTACATCTGAGTCCGAGGCCGGTCCTCGTGGCCGGGGACTTCAACGCGTGGCACACGAGTTGGGGTTCCCGGCACGACAACGCGAGGGGCAGGGCTCTGGACGAGTGGGCGGCGGCGCACGGGCTGGTCCTAGTGAACGAGGGCCGGACCTCCACCTGTGTGCGGACGCAGGGGGAGTCCATTGTGGATCTCACATGGGCTACCCCCTCGGCCGCGCGCCTGATAACCGAGTGGAGGGTGGAGCGGGACATCGAGACTCTGTCTGATCACCGTTATATAACGGTGGAGCTCGGTGTCCTCTCCCCCGTGCGCCGCCGAGAGGAGACGCGACCGCGATGGGCCCTCCGGACACTCCGCGAGGACGACCTGATGGCCTCGATTGAGGCCGCCTGTTGGGTCCGGGGAAGTTTCCCCGAGACCCGGGAGACAGACCCCCTGCAAGAGGCCGAGTGGATCGGGGCAACACTTACAGCGGCGTGTAACGCTGCGATGCCCCGGTCCAAAGCTCGACCTCAGCGGGCCGTCTACTGGTGGACGGCAGAGATCGCCGACTTGCGTCGACGCGCCGTCCGCCAGCAGAGGAGACTCGCCCGCTGCAGGCGCGGGAGCGAACAGGCGGCCGAACAAGCAAGAGAGGACTATCTTGAAGCCAAGGTAGCCCTCAGGCGGGCCATCAGGGTGGCAAAGGGCAGGGCGTGGACGGAGTTCCTCGACTCCCTTCAGGAGGATCCGTGGGGGCGCCCATACAAAATGGTTCTCAACAAGTTGAGACCATGGGCGCCCCCGCTGACGGAGCGGCTGGACGTGGGATTCGTCCGAAGGGTGGTGCGAGCCCTCTTCCCCAACATTACCGGGGAGGTTGAAGGGCCACCCTTCGAGTCGGGGGAAGACTCCCCCGACTGGGACGACTCCCTGGACGTCCAGCCGGAGGAGCTCCGGAGGGCCGTCAGGAAGGGCCTTAAGGGCAATACAGCCCCGGGTCCTGACGGCCTCCACAAGCGTGTCCACGCTCTGGCCATGGGCGACCTCGCGGAGGAATACGCGCGCACATACAGCGCGTCTGAGGAGAGGAGTCTTCCCCCCGCGGTGGAGGAGTGCCACGTTGGTGCTCCTCCCGAAGGAGGGGAAAGACGCCTCTCTCCCGTCGGCGTATAGGCCAATTTGCCTTCTGGACGAGGTCGGTAAGCTGTTCGAGCGTGTGCTCGTGAACCGCCTCGTCCAGCACCTGTCCCAAGTGGGCCCCGACATTAGCGAGGCCCAATATGGGTTCAGGGAGGGCCTGTCCACGATGGACGCGATCAGGCGCGTCCAGGCCCTCTCTGAAGAGGCGACGTCCCAGGGGGGGGGTGATGTTGGCGGTGTCACTAGACATCTCCAATGCCTTCAACACCCTCCCCTGGGGGCGAATCAGGGAGTCGCTCCGACGCCGCGAGGTACCGCCGTATCTCGCCCGCGTCGTGAGCGACTACCTGAGGGACAGGTGGGTCGAGTATATCGACCAAGGCGGCAGGCGCCGACGGGAGAGATTGCACCGGGGAGTGCCCCAGGGATCGGTTCTCGGACCGTTCTTGTGGAACCTGGGGTACGACTCGGTGCTGCGTGTTCC